TCCCTATGATATGATGTTTTCAGATCCTCCGGGAAAATTCCAGAGAGGAATAGCTGGTTTAAATGGGATTTCCAGTCCAAGACTCTAAGGAGTCTCCAGAAGCCACTCATTTTGTTTGCTTTTGTCATGTAACTGTTAATCTCATCTCCCCAAATAGGAAAATAAATCTCTGGAGTCCAATCAGCATGTATTCTCCTTTTTTTGTATCCCTTCAGGTGAACCTTCGAAAAATACATCCCACTTTTGTGCTAAGCTAATAAGATGCCTCTTCTCACAAAAGACATGAGTTCCTCAAGACATGGTCCTGCAATCAAGCTCAAATCCACTGACTTATATCAAAGGGCAGTAAAGGAGAGCCTTGTGAAAGGTGGAGGAAACTAGGCTTTCTCTGACACTTCTTAGTTCATGGTGGAAATCTGCAAAGATACATGCAATCACCTGGTCCAGAAGAAAGACACAAGACACATCATAAGACAAGGCTCTGATCCTCGAGCCTCATGTGACACCTTCAGTACAAAGGCCAGACCACTTGGCCTTTGAGCCCATGAGTTCTGGTCTACGCCAGAGGAATGTCTGAGCATCACATGAGGTAGTGCTACACCTGCTGCCAGTCTTCACCCAGTTCTCCTGCAAGATACTCAACAATTTATCTGTTTCTTATCATGGCGGAGTTAGGGAGGCCAGCTCTGGAGTCAGGGGGCATGGATACGCATTCGGGCTGCACCGCTTGTCAGCTGGGTGACCCTGGACCTGCTACTTCACCATCTCTGTGCTTCGGTTACCCTTCTATAAATGGGGGTGAAAGAAAATGTATTTCATAAGAGTGTTGAGAAATACAAATGAGTCAGTTCATGCAGCATGATTGACAACAGTACCAGACATGCAGTCAGCGCATCTTCAGTGCATGCTAGCCTTGCCTGGCAGGTGGAGGATGGGGCAGGTGTTGTTCCCCAGTCACTTCTGCTCTGCTCATGCCTCTCCCCAAACCCTACTGCTGGCCTTGAACTCACTATGTAGCCCACGCTGGTCTCGAACTCACAACGATCCTCCTGCCTCAGCCTCCCGAGTGCTGGGGTTACAGGCGTGCACCACCACACCTGGCTGCCTCAATTCTCCTTTTTTTCCCCTGACAGTTCTTCTTCCCTTCCCCTTGTTAACTTTTTTTTTGGTTATTGTCATTAAGTCTTATTTAGATCAGTGGTCCCCACCACTGCTCCACCACGTCTGGCAGTTATGTGTCTTTAATGGAAGGAAATCAAATTAATTGCCATTTAAAAACTGTTTGAATAGTTAAATAAATTATAGAGCTTGTTGGAGAATAGCACAGGGGATGATGGGACTTATATCCTAATCTCTGTTTTGCTGTCCTCCTTCAACCCACAGAAGCTGCCAGGAGAATCTTTGAGTAACAGCAACTTTTCTGATCTTATTCCTGTTTAGAAAATGCCACCCATCTGGTCTATTTTTTTTTCTTTTTTTACTGTAACAAAATTTTTCCCCATAATTTTATTGAGAAACAAATACCAATGAGGCAGTTTCAAATCAAATTGGTAGGGCAGTTTCAATAATTAACACATTGCATACTCTCTTCTTAGTGGTTATTTGCTGTACAAGATGCACACATGATATCCTATTTACAAACACTATTACAACAAATCCCTCTATTCATTAAGAGAATGTAACTATATATCTATCCTAACCATTTTGAATACACAGATACAAAATGGACATTCATCTGTATACCCTTTTTTGTTAAGTTCCGTTATTTGAATATTATAGGTGTGTTAACTCAGCAAAATATTCTAAAAGAGTCCAGTAGACCATAATAGCATTGGGTCTTCCACTCATGGTGTTATGTTGAGCTGCAGGGGACTCAGGTCACCTGGTCTGTTTTGACATGAGGCTTTCCAGGCCTGCAGGGCACAGGCCCAAACTCACTGCTCCTGGGACTGCCTGCTGCCATTGTTCTTAGCTTCTCCTGCTGTCATTCCTTCAGCCTAGTTAATTTCTTTTCCCAGCACTTGCACTTGGAATTGGACTCATGACCCTCACAATGAGCTACATCCTCAGATTTTTTTTTTTTTTTTAATTGAGAATGTTTTGCTAAATTGCTAAATTGCCCAGGTTGGATTGAATTTGCAATCTTCCTGCCTTAGCCTCTTAGTTTTGAGATTATAGGCATGCACAATCATGTTGGCCAACTTTTAAAACTCAATTTAAAAGTCAAAGAATTCTTGCCAGGCGTGGTGGCACACGCCTGTAAACCCAGCACTCGGGAGGCTGAGGCAGAAAAATCGCTGAGAGCTCAAGGGCCGCTTGGGCTACAGAAGTGAGTTAATGTCAGCCCGTACAATGTAGCAAGACTCTGTCTCCCTGTCTCAAAAGAAAATAAATAAATAAATAAATAGATAAATAAATGAATTCTCTGATCTGCAAGCTGAAAAATATTTCTTAATCCTCACAGTTGGCCCCTTAACACTTGCCTTCTACTAAAAATTTCATACAAAGCCAGGCCTGGTGGCATATACCTATAAACCCAGTGCTTCAAAGGCTGAGGTAGGATGATCTCCACGAGTTCAAGGCCATCCTGGGCTACAGAGCATGACCTTGTCTAAAAACCTCACACTAGATTTATAAGCAGGGTAGGTTTGCTTCTCTCCTGGACTTCAAGCCCAGAAACATCTTCCAAAATTTAATCTTTGCACAGAGAAATACACACTAAATCAGTAAAGTCTGCTGGTTTTATGAACTGTTAAACTCCTGTAGGAAGTCTATAATTTTAGTAGACAATGATCAATATGTTATCATCATCATCATCATCATCATCATCATCATCATCATCATCATCATCATTATTATTTTGAGACAGGGTCTAGCTATGCAGTTCAGGCCAGCCTTGAGCTCACTTTGTAGCCCAGGCTGGTCTCGAACTCCCAATGATCTTTCTGCTTCAGCTTCCGGTGTGTTGGGATTACAGGCGTGCGCCACCACACCTGGCAATGATCAATATTTTAAAAACTGAATTTTACTATAAACTTGGCAACACTATGATCTGAAATTCTTCATAGCTTGTATCTGGAGCAACTGGTTAAAATGTTCTCTAGCCTAAGTTTTTGCGAATCTAGAATGTTACTCCTGAAACACAGAAGGGTGTATGCTTGAAATCTTGTATCTACAGAGAAGGTTTAGTGCAAAGGATTCATGCAGCCTAAGTCAACTGTTTTAAAAAGCAACGTTAAAAAAAAAAAAAAAAAAAAAAAAAAAAAAAAGGGAAGAAGAAAAATGCAGTAAGATTTTCAGGAAGAATGATTTCAACTATTAGGGGAAGAAACAGACACAAAGACAAAAAAACAACAAAAAGCAGAAATACAACCGAATCCTAGTCATTCGAAGGGGCAAGGTGGATGAGATTTAATCACCGAACTCCCTCCGGCTCCCTCGCTAAAGGATCGTTCTGAGCCAGGGATCCCTGCCAAGCTGCTGCGGCCCCACACAGTTGCCGACGCTTCCTCCGCGGCCGCGCTGCACTCGGCCCGGCGCGCCGCACCCCGCCTCCGCTCTCTTTGTCTCCGCAGTGGCGCGGGGCGCAGGCTCACGTGGTCACGCCGCAGCCTGCAGAGTGCAGCTCCGCGCTCCCCACGCGCCGCGCTGTGCCTGGTGGCGTCTCTCCTCCCCGGGGCGACCTCAGCGCGCCCACCGCCGGAGTGCGGCTGGGTGCCCGCGGCTTCTGCGGGCTCTCTCCGCCTCTGCCGCCCCGCCCGCCCTGGCCGCTGGCGAAGCCTCCCGGTCGCCTCTTGCTGCCGTTCCCTCTGCAGCTCAGGCCCCGCGAGAATGGGCGACCGCGGCTCGGACCTTAACGTTGGGGCTGCAGCTGCAGAAATGGCGGAGGACCGATGTCCTTCAAGCTCACGCTGCTGCTCCAACTTGGCTCGTTTTCAAGTGAGAGATGAGAAGATTTAAAAAAGGAATTAGCTAGTCGGCCTTGGTGGTACAGGCCTGTGACCCCAGCACATCGGGGGGCTGAAGTGGGAAGATCACAAGTTCAGTCCCAGCCTTCACTATTTAGCGACCTAGTTTAGCCTGACAGAGAAAGGGGTTGAGGATGTTGCTTAGGGCAAAGGCCCCGGGTCAACCAGTACAAAAGAAAAGATGCAGGGTGGGGTGGGTGGGCTGGCAGTTACCGTGGGCGATGGGGTCCAGGCCAGGTTCCTAGATTCTTGTGCGCGCTGGTCAGGAAACAGCATCAGAGTTTAATAAGGCTATGTATGCTCAGAATGAACCGGTTTGCTAAGGGAAGGGTAGGGTGTGGGGTTTAAAACGTTGCCCCAGCGCTAGGGCGCCTCCCAGTGGGATGTTCCAGAGCATGAGTGACGCAGCATAAGAGACAGGGCTCTGAGTCCTGTCCGTCGCCTCTACCTCACATGTCCTTTGCGTAGACAGTAAGCACGAGACATGGCCCATATGCATACACCTTCAATGAGCTCCAGGTGAAGGCAGGTCACTATAGGTCGTGCATGCGGAGAGGGGCAGTTTAGCCAGCATGCATCTTGGTTTGGGATACTGGAACTTTTCAGGATAGGCTTGTTTTTCTTTTTCTTATTTCCATCTCCATTTAGTAAGCCTAGGACAGTGATGTGGAACCTTTTAGAGCTTTCAGTGATAACATCAGCCAGCTGGAGCACAAGGGCCCAAAGGTTCGCTGGCCTGGGACAGGGTGTCAGATAGGGATTGCCCTGGGGTGTTACCCAGGCTCAGGTGGGTGCAAGGGAGTGCTCTGTAGCCTCCAATCATATTATTTATGTTATTCCCCCCTGCGAAGACTGGGACTTCCAAATCTTTTTATTTAATATTTATTTTTATTTTGTTGAGAAATAAATATGAATGAGACAGTTTCAAAGCTGAATAATAGGACAGTTTCAAAGCTGAATAATAAGACAGTTTCGATAATCAATACATTGTACATTGTAATCTTCTTAGTGGTTATCCATAGTACAAGAAGCACACAGGATATCCTGTCCAAATACTATTAGTACACCTCTTTCTTCTCATTGAATTAAGCAAAAGTAGCTGTATATCTATCCTAACTATTTTGTATATATAAATACAAAATGATCTTTCCTTTGTATACCCTTTTTTTTTGTTTAGTCCTGTCAGAGGTGAATATTCTATTAGCATCAATAGGTGTTTGAATTCAGCTAAACAATCCAACACTGTCCAGCAGTCTATAATATTAGTGGGTTATCCTCAGAAGTTATTGACTTGAGCCTTTTACAGCTCATCATATTAATATGGCTTTATTTTATATATCTCATTTTTAAACTTTTCTGCTGAATAGTTAAGACCAAGATAAAGCAAGACCTATATAGCAAAAAATGTAACTTTTGTATCTGATAAGGCCAGTCAAGTACCCTCAGGATTTATCCTGTAGCTCTGTACTGCACTTTGTAGATCCTGTCAGTGTCAGCCATGAGGCTGAGTCATGGCCATTGCTTGACTGATTTGCTCTCTGTGAAAGCCTGAGAGAATGTTTTTTCTCTCCATGTGACTCTCCCCAGGCTCCCAAATCTTTAAGGGATGTTGAGCATTGAATGTTGGTCTTCTCCTGCGTTGTAGGGGCTTTGATACTATCTTGCATAGTCTTGGTCTGAATTTGGTCAGGTTCTATTGGATAGGGAAGGATGGCTCACCTGTAGAAGGATCATCTTTGTGTCTTAGGTGATGGCCTAATTAGTAAGTGGAAAGATGATGCAAGAGGACAACTTTCAAATACAGAAGAGGTAGCTGAACCAATTTGCAGATGAAAGGAAATTGCCCTGGTTTATTGTATACTGGAGAAGAGAAACCAACCAACCAATCAAACAACCAACCAACCACATTTTGTCCTGAAAATGGAGTTTTAATTTTTAAAATTATTATCTTCTTTGTCTCTTTTCTGCCCAGTTTTTATTTCTTCTGTCTTCCCTTATTTGTATCATCATCTGTAGTTTAGATTAAATAATAATGGTCCTAGTAGTAAGACTGTGAGAAGCTATAACAAAGCCTTCATCAAGGGAAGTAACTAGATCTTTGAGGTCCCCACAGCTCAGCCAGTTCCTGCAGGGGGTGGGGTGGGGTGTCTTAGTATCATAATCAGCTAGATTTTGCCTTTTGTCTCTCACTATTCCAGACTAACTGAAGTAGAAGCAGCACTCCTTAGCAGTCAGGAGGTCCACTGGTTTTGTAGTTCCACTTCTGCCAGGGAATCTGTTGGATTCTGGAGGACGACAGTGCTCTGAATAATTTAGTCTAGGCTGTCAGGCTGGTGGATAGCTTTGGTAACAGGAGGGGGAAGTGGTGGGTCCCCCTATGCCAGTTGCTGTGCCCAGGCCCACTAGAACAGGAATGAGTTCTGTAGCTCACTTGGCTCTTGTCCTGGTAGACTGACTGGATTAGGTTTTTAGGTGCTATGTTGACCTCAGGGGCCAGATCAATGAGAGTGCATGTTCTGGTCTTTGCTCAGACACATGAGTACAAATTATAGAGACAGAGACAGAGACAGAGACAGAGACAGAGACAGAGACAGAGACAGAGAGA